TTTTTAATCTCAGGAATTCTGCAGAAGTTGGAAGTGCACAGATGGGACTGAAGCCTAGGTCCCCAGAAAGATGGCTTCCTGAATAAAATCCTAAAATATGTGCCAAAAATGTCTCTGCAATAGGTGGGAGGAGTTAACTGCTTGAGAGTAAGGTTCATGACAGCTTTCTGCTGTGTAGGGAGCCACGTAAGACAGCTAGGAAAGATAGGTAGGAAATGCTGAAGTAAGGCACAAATCTTTATATCTGACCTTTTCTGGAGTGGAGGTGCGTAGTTCTGTTTCCATGGGAAACTGCCCAGAACACCTCCTAAAATTAGGCAAGTTATTTATTTCTATGAAAAATGTAGGCAAGGGTGAGTCATTCCTTTAAAATACCACAGGAAATAGCAATGGTATTGGCCCTGCTTTTCTTCAACTGTAGTAAAAGTTTAGAGTACTCCCCAAGCATATGGGGAAGCCAAGGTCACATTCTTGCACATGTGGACAGTTCCAGCTATATCACCAATCTTGCAGGGACATGGATTCACCACAGTGAGAATCTGTAGTAATACTCAATTAGAAATGTCCTGCTTTACACTGTTGTTTACCTGCTTTATCCAATGTTGATTTAATGTGAAATATATTGCAAAATGGAATACAGGAAAACCTGACCCGCTCATAGTCATACTAACATTTTCTTTTCCTTCCCCTGGCTGAATATATCTGTGATTCTTTGTACAGGGTGTGACTGTCCTGAGCATGGAAAGGGGATGTCACAGGGTCCAAACAGGATATACTCCCTATGGCTGTGTTCATGTGGGTCGCTGTGAGTCTATGCCATATTTCTGCAGGTGCATCTTGCAACAGATAGTGCTAATAGAAATGGGAGGGAGAGGCTGTAGCTTTCTTTTAGCTCCCACACAGTAAAGAATCAGTGTGTATGATACAATCTCTGGGTACATATAAATCTGCAAATGTAATCGTTCATGAAGGAGATTGTTCTTGTTCATGTATTAGAGTCCCTGCTGAAGCTGTAGCTGGGTATAGACTTCTTCTGTCCTTGGATAAGTAGTGTAATTATCATCTCTTCGTGAGCTATACTAAACACAAGCATAGCAGTGCTGAGGAATGAATGACTCAGTGATACTGTATTCAGAGTGGTGTGATTTCATCCGTGTGTAGAGGATTTGTACTTTCTTTTGTGACCTGATTTACTATAGTATTTCTTAAGCTTGAAGTGGTCATATCTCTACAGGAATCAGACAGACTAGTTATCCTAGGCCCCCGTTGTGGTCAATGGAAAGAAAAAAAAAAAAAGAATTATACTTTTAGGGCATGATTCATGTTGAAGTAGTCATCCAAAAATAGGTCAAATGGACTGTGTCCTAAAAGTGCCTATATGATTGTAAAGGAAACCTGAGGTGACCAGCTTCATTGGGGACAGCTACAGTGCAGCTGTCTACAGTTAAGTAAGATGATTTCCAGCCAAAGATTTAGTGGATAAGGTGTACTTTGTACGTCTGCCCAGCTCACTGCAGACAATTGATCTTGTAGGTGTAATGGATAACGTACTGCCCGGCTGGGGAGGATGGACAGGATGAGGATCTGAATCACTGGGTGAGATATTCCATAACTATTCAGAA